TGACCATACTTTTTAATATTCAGTGCTGTGTTTTTTTACCAATGACTTTTACGTAATGTGACCACAGATATTTTTAAGCAGTTGACATTTTATGTGGAACTCAGGTTGGTCTGTTAAGCTTCCTGTACTCGGAAAAGGAACAGCCTGAGGTATACATATTTTATGTTTATATTGCTTCTTTAAGGGCAGACTATGCACACATGTATATGTAATAGGTGTTGATGTTTTGGTTAATTTTTAAAAAGTATAACGATACTACAGAAGTCAATGGGAAAATATTTGGTTTTGTGTAAACCTATAATCTTTATCAAACGTTTGTATAAAATATCAACTTCACAAGACAATATCAGGGACTGAGTAACTGCACTCACAATTATCATTAAATATAGGGATGAAATCATGTTCTTCATGGTTGAAAATATCTTCCACTGAGATGAAAGTATCATCTAATTAGATGGAAGTGTGGTCAACGTACGTGAAACTTTTATCTGCATTTGTGAAGCTGTCAAAACGTCTTTCAGAAAATGATCGATAAAATGACTTTTCCTTTGATCAATTGTAAGGACAATGACTTACATCTTGAAGCTGCCTCCGTCACTTGACTGTCATTGCAGGACTTTGGTAAACAGAGGTCCCATTGTATGTACAGGTTGTTGGGTTTGATCTGCAATATTCTTTTAAATATAATGTGTATGACCTTATCTGAGTATAAAAAAAGAGGGAAGTTGATGTCAGTATTTATATGGCTTGAAGCATGGTCACGATACTTTCATAACTATTTACTCTAGTTATTTTACAGTCCTTCGATGACTGATTATTTAGGAACTTCAATGTATTGTTTATGTAAAACATTTCTCGTCACTATATGGCTGAAATATTGCAGAGGTGACGTTAAATTTTAACTCACTCACTCACTCATAACTATTTACTACTTCATAAGTATTTCAAATGATGCTCATGATTTTGGTTTCTTGATTGTCTGGCCCAGACTCGATTATTTACAGATGGCCGCCATATTGCCGTGTGTGGCGTTAAACGACAAACAAACAAATCATAATGAACTTCTTTGAGAGGCATTTAGAAGTTATAGCAGTATACAAACTGTGGGGAGGATAACAATATATGGATGAACGTCTTTATTTATTATCAGTGCGATAAAGAAGTTTTTCATCCCTGTATTGTTATCCTTCCTTAAATCATAACTCTCTATTTGCTTTGACAACGCATGGGATGAACACCATTAGTTGTTGCAGAGGGTGATGCTTGCTTACAGAGTTTGTTCAAAATTATACTAAGCATCACATGGTTGTAGAGGAAACGTACCGGCAGTGGGTCACCGCCGTGGGTAAGATTGGTTAGGGCCGCAGGAAGAGTGAATTTAAAGTGACAGTAACCTCCATTTATCACACGACTTTGTCCCGTACTTTCATTGGTCAGTGTATGTAACACATCCAGACATTCGTCGTAGTTGCCAAGGAATTTGGTCGCTCCTTGTAGAATACTCCTTCCTGGTTTTCCTGAGGCATCAAGCACTGAAACAGAGCAACAGAGCCCTAGAAAGACATCTGGCACTATGAAGAGAAACGCATGCACAGTAGACAAAGCTGTCTAAATATGTTATCTGTTTAAGTTTGTTGGTATTTTTCTCGCCAACAAAATATACCAATCCTTGACTATTTTTGTTTGTGACGCAACTATGTTATATTCTTGAAGGTAAAAGCGTTGTAAGATTTAATCAGTCCTATAAGACTAAAATAATCATTTGGATTGTATGTTGAGAAGATTCCATTCCGCGTAAACGGGAAAATAGTGGTAAACAAAATCTTCATTTATCCCTGGAAGTCAACCTTTTTCAGGAACAAGTTGATCTTTTCGTATCCTTTTAATTTTCGGACGTTTCTGTTTGACAGACACCAGTAGGAAGGACTTTAGTTCCCTTTGACATATCTTGAAACCAGTATATGGCCAATTCCTATTTCTATCATATGCATTCTTCAACAGTTCCATATTTGTAATAGACGAAATTCACAGAACCGGCACATAATGACTCTTTTGTTGTGACAGAACATCTGGCCTTGTCCCATGCCCAACAAGAATATCCTTCCATAGTCTAAAGGTTCTAAAGGCTCATTATATAATTTTTACAAGATAAGCATGTGTCTGCAAGAGTCACTATAAAACATTGTGACACTAGGTGCTTGCAAAATGTGTCGACACCTGTAACACCCGTCACAAATACATATAAAGGCATGTGTTACAACGAAACATATGGACATGCAGCAGACATTATGTAAGGAATGTATAAAATTTGAGAGCGTGTTGGTTGAATTTGTAAAATGACTCACTTTGCAAGGCCCACACCTGACCCTGTCCCACGCCCTGGAGATAGGCGCTGACGTCAGCTGTACATCGGTCCTCGCTCTCAAGACCCTCTGGACTCAGGAAATACTGCACCTCTGACAACACCTCCTCCAGTGTCGACAGCAACGACGTGTCTTGACCACCCGAACCTTTGCTTATAATAGTCTTCAAGACACTCTGCAAACCATCTCCGTCTTGGTTTTCCAAGACGGTCATTAGGATGGGAATCAACTGGGTGTTCTGCAAAGCTGATAGAAACACTCCCGCCAACACAATCGGTTCTGGAGGCGAAGCATGTGAACCTTGAGAAGGAAGAGGTTGTTGATCCTTAGCTGCTCCATCTCCTTCGTACTGTAACCTTGAGGAACTTGGCAGAACATTCGAAGCAGTCTCATTACCCTGTTTGATATTGCCTCTTTGGTGTGCAATAGGCTTGTTTCTGTAACTGTCATTATCCTTATGAAGATCATTATAAGTTTGAGATGCCACTATTGAACACATATACACCAAAATGATGATACTCATGTTTGATTGTCCCAGAAACATGATCAAACTTCTTTTATCACGAGAATCTCAGGTGTTGCTGTGTTGATGATGAACAATCATGTGTACCTCCCAGCGCTAAATAAGCCTCACTAATATCACCTTCAGCCTCAATATTGTAGTCCATTCGTATTATTGACCCTATTCAACATGAAATTACGTTTTTACTCAGTTAAATGTACATTCAAGTAATATATCAAGGCTTTATCATAGAATTTAATTCGAAACATCTGTGCCAGGCTATGCAATGCCCTGGAATATTTGATATCGCTTGGTGTCGGTGAGAGTTACCTATACCTGCCTACTGGGCCGTGTTCGTTCCAGGTGAGTTTACTTTTTAAAGCTAGTGAGTCACCTCAGTGTGGAGGATTTGAGGCAGGACTTGAAGATAAACAGGTTTCACAGGTGTGACGCTGACGACCAAGAAACATAATCACCGCGAATCTGTGATAGCCTTTTAAACATGGTGGACGTATCAGAGTGAGTGAGTGAGTGAGTGTGTGGTTCAATATTCCAATATTCCAGTAATGGGCTTCACACATTGTACTCATGTTGGGAATCGAAACCGGGTCTTCGGCGTGACGAGCGAACGCTTTAACCACTAGGCTACCCTAACGCCCGAGTAAGGTTTTACGCAGCTTTGAACAGTGTTCCGACTATATCATAGCTAGTCAGCTCAATGTGGGAGGAATACGACTGGGTCCCCCGTGTACCTGTGTCCTCAGCACGTTTCAAAACACATTATTTATTTTAACTTGCCACGCACATTCATTGTACATGGGAGTCTATTTACCACAGTCAAGCGCTAATCACTGACCAATCATGATACTACAAGGTCAGCGTACATAACGGTGTCTCTGTTTACAGAAGACTTCCCAGTTTCAACTCAACTTTCCTGAACTAACCGGAGACAGGTGGAAATGCGAATAGTTACTGTACCCGTTTCCCGAAGCATTTACTTTAAATCCTCCTGTTCTTTTCAGCAAGCGCTACAATCGCCAGCGGCTGAAAGGATAGTGTAAATCCAGCTAGGGTCCATGCAGGTAGCAAAAGTAATGTAAGTCCCCATGGTTCCTAGTATGGTGATCTACCTTCAGTTGTTGGCGATCAATAGCCCATTTTATATTGTATTGTCCAAATATAATTTCTACTTTTAAAGATATATGCTAGCTAGTTTTAACTCAATCTGTGATAATCTAGTGGTTTTACTGTCCTTTGCTGACAGGGTTTTATATATTATATGTATGTATTATGAATTTAGAACTAGTTTTAGTCACGATATGGCTGAAATATTGCCGATGTGACTTTAAATCTTAACTCACTCACTTTCAGCAAGCGCAGTTTGTATGTGTATATATATGTGTAAGTATAAAATTATTTGTTACATACATAAATACAAGGTGGTCATTTAAAACAAGGGCCTACCGTCAGTGGATTAAAGGATCCACATTCGGGTCATCGAGACTATTAGGTTATGTCAACATCGGCATAGTATATTACCCATCAAAAGTTTAGACTCATTAGCGTAAATGTAGCCACTTACTTCAGTCAACATTTCTAAACTACATTTTGTAAAATATTCCATACTGTTTAAAGGTACTGTTTACACATGAACTGATGTATTGTAAAACAAATTCGTAACACTGAAAAGATAATTGTCATGAGTTCAATAAATGATGAAATTCAGTGAAAATTGGTGAATTCTTAACAAAACTTTACATCAAAACGCAGCTGTTCACATGCACGATATTTGCAAATGCTTTTCAGCAATTTGATGCATGATCCTCGTGCATTCATCTACATAAGGTTTGCAGTTGGTTCACCAAAGTTAGTGGAGAAATTCATTTTCGATGTAACCATATATATATACACACATAACATATAGTGATTGCTTTAAGTGAGTCTAAACTTTTGATGGGTAGTATATTTCCATATTGAGATTGGAATACATAGGCTTCTAGCGCCAAACTGTTTGCGTCAGTTAAACGTTATAGAACGGGGAACACATGTAACTGCGTTAGTGAGTGAGAAGACAAATTGGTCTCCCACATTCACATAACTGTGAAAAGTGTGAATAAAAAGGAGGAAGACAAGTGTGAATTAATCAATACATACTCTTTATTAACTCGTATCAAATCGTATATCGATAAAAGAGAATGCCATTATTGCATGACTTCTTTCTTAAAACGATCGTGGAACTTCTACTGTCTATAAAACATGAAAGTTTCGATCGTCTTAGTGCTTCGAACGCTTTGCGAAAACAGGTGCCCGTGTAGATATTTATCAACTGCATGGAGACTGTTCATTTTTCTGCATAATTCTTTTTTTTTTTTCACATTTTTTTTCTTCACTTCACTTGGATACACTTTGTATGAAACAATTTTTCTGCATAATTGCTTTATTAAAGCAATACGTTAGGCGATAGCGTAGCCAAGTGGTTAAAGCGTCGCTTGATTCCCCACATGGTACAATGTGTGAAGCCGATTTCTGCTCCCCCGCCTTGATATTGCTGGAATATTGCTAAAAGCGGCGTAAAACTTAACTCACTCACTAAAGCAATAAGTATATGTTCAACGTTGGAACCTCTAACGTGCGGTATAAGGACAATGTTGAGTTGTGACTTGTATCAATTATATATATTTTGGGACTAATTATGTTAACACCACAAGATGATACACCTAACACGGGATCTGATCTGAGTTTAAGATTGATCGGAACACATGCAAGTGCTTTTTAAGTCCTAGTATGTTCCTAATTTATGAACAAAATAATAAAATCGATAATTTGTACGAGAATTACCTGAATGATACAGGTATTAAAGTAGATAAACCAATGCCTTTCTTAACATTTAACTTTCAGTAAGTTTGTAGGGCTTTGATACTTTCATGATGATCGATATCTTGCATTCAGAGCGGTGGGGTAGACCGGTGGCTAAAGCGTTCGCTCGTCACGACGAACGCCCGTGTTCGATTTCCATATGGGTACATTGTGTGAAGCCCATTTCTAGTGTCCCCCGCAGTGATATTGCTGGAATATGGCTAAAAGCGGCGTAAAGCTAAACTCACTCACTCTTGCATTTACCTTTATCAGGAAACTTAGGAAATGAATGATGTCAAAATATATACCACGAAGAAAGATGGGTACAAAGCTGAAGGCATCTATTGCAACAAGAAGTTTTCTATCCATAAAAAAGTGTTCCTCTTCATAAATGCCACTTAAAGAAGGGTAAAAAGATGTAGATAAAACACATGTTTCACATACTGGGACAGTATTTACAATTACTCACAAACATGAACACAGAACGAGCGACCCAATACTAGAGAACTAGTGAGATAGATGTTTGTATCTCATTTACGTAACTGTCTATTTGAAATGCCTTTAAATGACTTCATCTGCAATAACTGACAAATTGGTACCTGTATAGAAATTCCTTCACTAAAATGCGCCAGTCGTTTGAAATTCAGCATCACAATATATGTATTTACAAAACAATACATACACAAGAAACTTAGTTAAGCACCCCCTGACATATCTCACGATTGAATGAGCCCCGATCTTAACCCTTTGGAGCATATCTGTGATATGACTGGTCGTCGTGTGCAACAAAGGGATCCTCCTGTACAGAACCTGGCCCAATTGGAAGCTGCTTTACATGAGAAATGACGTTGACTGCGCCTTCAGAGGACCAGGGGGTATGAGGAGGAGAGTGTTGGCTGTCATTTACATTCGGTATTGATCTTGAATCGTGTAAGACACGCAAAATGACATTTTGAATATGCACATTCACAAAGGCATTTTTTAAAATGAAAATCAGTGTTTTTTAAAATGAGCAATTATCATCATAAAATGAACAAGGATTCCAATCATTTTGTCGTTTTTATGAGTCAAAGGAACATACGGGTTAGCAAGGCTCATGGCTTTCCATGTGTTCACCACGAGCGGTTTTATGTACGTGTTGAAAACCTGATAGTATCATTGCAAAAATATAGGGTGTGCTTAATAAGGTTCTTTGCGTTTTCTTGAATACGCTTCCTTAATAGAATAGATGTAAACCTTTAACATCATCAATTATTTACAGTCTATAAATTTATACCTGTTGTAAAGCATTTGAGACTACATGGTTGATTACCCAGGTAAAGTATATCAATCCATTATTATACTTGAACCCTGAACTATTGGTCATCGTGATTCCGTTTCGATGATTCCATCTCGCCTGTCGCTTATTCAGAATTCGCCTTCTTTCACACTGTGAGAGCGATTTTAAAATAACAATACCGTGCTGATTGAAGTTGTTGTTGCGTATGGATCCAAGGTAGTTATCGTTACAATGGATGTAGCGCCCTGCATTATCGAGGATGTCAGAGATTGTCTCACTTCTTCAGTTTGCCAAGAACGGCCTTCTCCAGCCCGAGACACGGAGATTCCACTAGGACACATATAAAGAAGGACAAGGCATAGGACACGATGAATGTTCCCAGGAAGTGATAACTCTGTCGAGAAAAGAAAACATTTGAGAACAAAATACACTCTAACGCATAAATCATTCACACAGACACTTGCATAAAGTATTTCGTTAATCAATACTATTAATCACTATAACCTTTCGCTTTGTTTGTTATTTTGCGCATGAATCAAGTAATTATAGCATGTGTACCAAATCAGTTGGTAGACAATTTCCCATGTTGTTGAGGTACCATTTGACATTTATCTAATTCCCCAAGACAGACCATTCGATCTTGTTTTGGCAACCAGCATAGAGCTTGGAAACTATCGTTCAATAGTTTGATTTCGTTGTCAGATAATTGACATAGTTGGCAATATTGTGGTAAAGTAAGACTCATATGGTATCTACTTTCAAGCAGACCCGTGAAGATTCGGTTTAGAATTGATCTGGAGCATCCCATGCTTTTCATAAGAGGCGGCTAACGGGATCGGGTTGCCAGGCTCACCGACTGGGTCAACATTTGTCATCGTATCCAAGATGCAAAGATCGATGCGCTTGCTGTTGATCACTGGATTGTCTGGTCCAGACTCGATTATGTTCAGACCGCCGCCATATAGCTTAGTTATCGCTGAGTGCGAAGTTAAACAACAACTAACTATGTATACGTACCACATAAGGAATATCAGCATATCTCAGAGACCTCACAGAGAACTCGGTGTATGAGAGAAGTACTGGGTGGACGAGATAGGCCCCGTACGTCAATCTACCCAGTGGGATCCAAGCAGACCAGGACAAGAGACTATTTACGAAACCTTCAACAAGCAAAGCATACACGTGGTGCATAACTTATTTGATAGATGACTAAATATACATCACCTATTGAATAGATGTCATTGACTAAATATACTTCATTTATTTAATGCATGGTTGAGCAATATATCATCAACTGAATGCACGATTTAGCAGGTCATCTTCTACTCAGTGCATGATTAATTAAATCAAATGAGGTGGCTATTCGCAATAGCATATCGATACTTCAAGATCCCACCCTCGATTATGCTAAATGCACAACTATGTTGTTGACCTAAACATACAATGCATATGAAGATTGATATCTAAATGACACTTGAAATAAACGTCCATTTGGGGTATAACCCTTTATATGACCGAGGACACAAACAGCCCAGACCCAACAGGGGCATGTACAGAACCCTCAATCACCACTCAATCTTACCCACAGGGGGCATGTACAGAACCCTCCCCATCATCCCTTGTGCAGCACACAAGTATGACCCAGGGCACAACAATCACCACCCACACAAACAGCCCAGACCCCACAGGGGCATGTGCAGAACCCTCCCCCGAATCTTACCCCCATCATCCCTTGTGCAGCACACAAGTATGACCCAGGGCACAACAATCACCACCCACACAAACAGCCCAGACCCCACAGGGGCATGTACAGAACCCTTCCACCCAATCTTACCCCCATTCCTTGTGCAGTACACAAGGGCACAACACACAAGGACCCCAGGATGTGTACTGTGTTTCTACTTTCTATTTCTCCACGATGATTTACACCATGGTCTGTGCAGCACACTAGAATCACCCTGGACACAACAATCACCACCCTCACACATGGATGTGTACTGTGTTTCTACTCAAAGACTCTATTTCTCCACGATCATTTACACCATGGTCTGTGCAGCACACTAGAATCACCCTGGACACAACAATCACCACCCTCACATATGGATGTGTACTGTGTTTCTACTCTCTATTTCTCCACGATGATTTACACCATGGTCTGTGCAGCACACTAGAATCACCCTGGACACAACAATCACCACCCACACACATGGATGTGTACTGTGTTTCTACTCTCTATTTCTCCACGATGATTTACACCATGGTCTGTGCAGCACACTAGAATCACCCTGGACACAACAATCACCACCCACACACATGGATGTGTACTGTGTTTCTACTCTCTATTTCTCCACGATCATTTACACCATGGTCTGTGCAGCACACTAGAATCACCCTGGACACAAACACCTCATCCATAAATGTACATGGAGGTGTCCTGTCTTCAGACAGAATCTCTCAACGATCTCTCACCCCCATGTCCTGTGCAGCACACTAGTATCACCCAGGACACAAACACCCCCCACAGTGGTCTGTACAGGGTCTCGTGTACAATCCGTGTATCCACGTCCCATGGAGTTTGACCCTCGCCGAAGTCATCGTACGTCACATAGGTACACAATAACCCTACGGCGAGAACCACCTGCCATCCAAGCACCAGAACATACTGAAACACAAGTAAAACATGAGTGTAAGGATGACTTTCAGACCTGTTCGGTTTCATCTGAAAGACGCATACGTCAACACTAACCCTTACCGACCTTTCGTTTCATCAGGTTTCGTTCAACACTGATTTCCAATGATCCATTTACATATGGAATCATTTTCGGATGACAATCGAAACTCGCGGTTCTGTGGCGTTGACGTTATAGTTACTGCTCAAATGAAGTTAAGGAACAATCCAAATTTTCTTGTGATTTTAGTTAATATGTCATGTCATGTGTTATTTTACAATATGTGAGTAGCATACAGTTCTGTGTATGTAATCTGTCTAAATGTCTAAAACCTACGCTTGTTGTTTAAACCAACTCGAATACTAAATACTTAAACCCAAGTAAACATTTGAAACAAGAGTACCAAGTGAATGCCTTCGATTAGTAAGGCCTATTCCCGTGAAGATCCGGATATGAATTGATTTTCAGCAACCCTTGCTTGTCGTAAGGGTGGAATAACAGGAACCGGATGCCCAGGCTCTTTGACATGAGTTGACAAATGTCACCGTATCCCAACTACGTACGTAGATGCTCACAGTGTCAATCAGTGGATTGGACCCGTGAAGATCCGGGTTAGAATTGGCTCTTCAGCAACCCATGCTTGTCGTCAGAGGCGACTAACGGGATCGGGGGAGTAAGACTTGGTGGACACATGACATCATATCTCAATTGCGTAGATCGATGCTTATGCTGTTGATCATGGACTTGTCTGGTCCAGACTCAATTATTTACAGATCGCTGCCATATATCTGGAATATTGCTGAGTGCTGTGTTAAACAACCAACCAACCAACCATGCTTGTCCCAGATAACGGGAATCGGATGTTCAGGTTCCCTGACGTGAGTTGACACAAGTCATCGTATCGATGCTCATAGTGTCAGTCACTGGATTGTCCGCTCCAGACTGGAATATTTACAGACCGCCGTAAATAAAGCTGGAATATTGCTGAGTGCGACGTTTTAAACAAAAAACAACCAAAGCAGATCCTAGGTGCAGCAGTTAACATAGGCTCGCTTACTCTTGGTATCCTGATATGACCCTTGGTCCTCTGTAAGATGGCTCCAAGGACCATGCCGACAGCAAACACGCCCACGCGGCACCAGGGTAAGGGGTAGATCTTGTCCATGGAGTCACCATTACCCCTACATAAAATTAGTTTAAAGCAATCATAAACAGTATTTCAGTAATATCACAGAGTGAAAGCTTGTTGGATTGAAGGCCCAAATATATCAGATCTTAGACTTAAACCAATACGAACATGGGCATGTGCTGACGGGCGTCAAAACATAATTTGAGCATACTATGAAAGCTTTCTGAAGAACCTAAGGGACGCGACTGTGCCTGGGTCGACTGTCCCATCTGTGCCCTCTTACCTTCTTTAAGATGACGTTATAACGTCATTTGGCTATTACTTGCAGGTTGTTTATAAGGATAAAACATAATGACTGTATGTAGAAAAAAGGAAATACTCACACAAACTGGGTGGCACCTCCATACTTCCATTCCAAGTAACCGTAGCTTCCAATATGGACCGCTCCGAAGAGACACATGACACTGTATCCAAGCCAGCGAATCCTGAGATGAGAAAGCAAGTACAAATACTACACATATATATTCTTTACGTTTGAAAGGTATCCAGCTTAAACACTTTGATTTGAAAAGATTTTCGATATGTATTCAGAACCTAACATATAAAGCCTTGTGATGTAAGCGTTCGTTCCACCGAAAACTCCAGTTCGATTTCCCATCTGAGAAGCCCTCTTTTCGTATCCGCATTCTGATATCGTCATAATGTTTCTAAAATCAAGCCATACTTAACGATTTCACGCATTATAATGTTCCATGTTATGGAGGCGTTTCGATAGCCAAGTGTGTACAGCGTTCGCTCGTCATGCTGAAGGCCCTGGTTTATTTCCCAACATAGGTAGAATGTGTGAGCTCATTTCTGGAGACCTTCATCCTGATATTACGGAATCAGTGCTCAAAGCGGTGTGGAACCTTACTCACTCTCTCAGTCAAACCTCAATACAATGATAAGACCTTACCCAAATGCAATAGGCAGTAAGGCAAGAGGAGCGATCATATAGAACTGCATATCCGCCGCCAGAAACCAGGAAGCAGGGAAACACTGAAACGACACGTGTGTCTTTGTGGGGATCTTGATGTACTTTGTTAAATATCAACAATAACTATAACACAATAAAGTAACACTACACGTTCGTAAGTGTTTTTTACGAACATCATCACTTTTTGACTCGTGGACGCATTCTTAATTGTTCCTACACTCTGGTTTGGAGAGGTTATGAATCAGCTGTTCAAAGACCATCTTTACTTGCATGTCCAGTGCAGATTATCCAGTTACCATTGTTACAGTAAATCGAATTCCTTAGAGTGTCATCGACTTGGTTGTTATAACACTGGAATGAAATTATTTTGTAGAATAATCTGTTTATATTTACATAAATTGCAAATGATATCAATATTATTAAGGTGGGTATTTTTTTTATCTAGGTTTTCCTTGTTCTTACTATATTACGTTCAGTGGCAAATATTGTTCATCTGTTTATTAAAATTAAAAACATTGAATTCCTATAATTGTATACATGTACATTATGCTTATGCAGGACAATGATATTTTGGAGTTACCATTTCTTTAAAGCTGTAGAAATTATTAATATAAAGTATGTTAGTCCACCAGTTGTCTCGACAGTTGTCCCTTTCCAAAAGGATCTTGGATTCAGCAACTGGTCCTTGAATAAGATGACCCAGCAGTCCGCTGTAGAACAGGATGATGAACATATATACTGGAGTTAATCTGTGGAAATATAACGGGAATACAAATTAGACATTAGACGTTGTCTTGAACATTGCAGGCAAGAGTCAGTACTTGACGTACGCTAAATAGCCCTAACTTAATTAGAGGGAAGCTCTATGTATGTAAAGTATAAGACAGCAACTGATTGACAAGGTTTAATGGCAACCACAGGACCACATGGCCACAGGGTCACTTTTCCAACTTTCAGTTGCCATACTAGTTGCCCAGTCGTGTAAGGCACCGCTATTCTCTGTGGAGAATTGCGTCCCTTGGGCGTGCCAGAAACCTATGATCCCGGTTCTCATTGGCTACGTTACCAGGTTTGTCATTACCATGCTCGTGGTTTCAAGCATGTGCTTTTAGTATTGTATTTATAGTATCATGCATGTGCTCTCAGTATTGTCTATGTAGGTTCATGTATGTGCTCTCAGTATTGTCTATGTAGGTTCATGTATGTGCTCTCTCTTGTATTATTGTATTTCCCCTCACCTCCACCATCGGTGGATGTAGTAGATGACCATCTGTCTGGCTGTAGGCTTCCCTCTGGCGGACTTCTCACACTCCCTCAGGAACAAGAAGGTCAACAAGCAGCCGCTGAATACATGATTTACAATAAGTAATAACTCATCCATTAAGTGTGATTAGTGAAGTAAGAATGGGAGTTAAAATACTTTTAAAATAAAATACATGAACACAGAAACCTGTGTGAATTTACCTGAGTACAAAGAATGTGTCCACCGCCAGAGTTCCATTGACAAGAAACTGCATTGTGAACCGCCTCATCCAGTTGGCATAGTCGAGCTTGTTTTCCCCTGCAAACAAACAGGACATAATAGCTACATTCATCGTATGATATTTAGCAATACTGTAATGCCCATGTTTTACGACACCCCCAGTGTATTTTGGTTCAGAACATGACATAAAGTATATACTGCATATGTATGATCAATACAATTTCCTCAACTGGAGTCCTTGTGTGTCTTTATCCTTACTTATTACTTCACAGCTTCGATACAACCGGTGTTTTCGATGGTCTCCAACAACAGGTATATCGACACATACCGAACTAATATAATTATTATGGACCGTGAATAACTTTGGAATTTGTATATACATTATGCTTAGTTTTCACTTCAGAAGAAACCGCAAACTATGAATCTTTTCGTTCATTATACATGTACAGTGGGCTCCGCCTTGAGCCGGTATTTCCAGTGGTTATGGGAAATGTTCTATTATGTATCTGTATCCAATTTCTGACGTAATCGCTATTAAAGTCACATTAACGCTCGTTTGTTTGTTGTGCACTGAGCAATATTCCAACAATATGGCGGCGGTCTGTAAATCTGGAGTCTTAATCGGACAAACAGTGATTAAACATCGATCTGCGCGATTTAGGGATAAGATGACATGTATCGACCAAGTCAGCAATCCTGACCAGCCGATCCCATTAGTCGCCTCGTACGACAAGCATCGGTTGCTGAAGACTAATTCTAATCCGGATCTTCGTGGGTTAACGCACATGTGCTCAAGCTGTCCCAAGTCATGGAGTGTCCGAGGATGACCCAGGCCATACTGAGTACCCGGATGCCATGGATACAGCCCAGGTTTCCATCCCCTGTCCTGGTACTGAGGATCTTCTCCGTGTTCCTGCTGATGGAGAACGACAGCAGGAGTTGACGACCCAAACCTGTCAAATACAACACAGTAAACAAAGTCACAGGAAATGAAAGAAGTAGAGCCTTATTATGATGTAGTATTATCAGTGAGTGGGACATTTCCTATTAAGTAACGCATTACACATGCAAACGACATGATGTTATCTCTAATAGCTCGTAGCCTACTGTTTACAAGTTGACCTGACTTTATTGTTTTTTATTTAATTTTATCTGGACAATATATCAATCCTTGCCGTTATATCGTGGAAATATAGCGAACAAACTCGTTATATTGCATATGAACAAGGCAACTGATTGAAGATATACAATTATATTAAATGAAGATTCAGATAAAACAAACAAGGCAAATTACACCTACACAATATATTCTGTTACATATTGAATGTATACTCCTCTCAAAAATTTAAGCAACAATTACTTTCAGTGTTATATCTTTTATCAATCTCGATAGCGATTTTTGCCGACATGTTACTGAAAGGTAAATATTCAAAGAATGCATAACCTTTAGTGACTGTCAAATTCATTTATCTGATAACATTGACAACATCACCCGAACACAACCACCCTCAGAAACAACATGCAAAATGTGTGGCATGGATGTGCTCCACTCTTCACACATGCACCCTGATCGGTGTAAACCTACCTGTAATCATTCCTCTGGTACAACAAGCGGGTCCTAACTTCATTTTTTTATGGATGATAATGCCCGTCCATGGATGATAATGCCTGAGAAAGAGTTGTTAGCGATGTTGTTTAGATCAACAACATCATACATATGGACTGACCTGCAAGGTCACTTGATCTAAATCCCATTGAACATGCTTGGGACATTATTGGAAGTTGTGTTTACGGTCTCCATGTTCATCCCCAGAATCTGGATGACCTTGAGCAGGCGTTACAGAGAGAATGGCAGAACATTCCACAACAGCAACTCTAAAGGCTCATTTGGTCAATGCAAAGACGTGTAGAAGCTTGCATTTGTGCTCATGGTGGTCATTCTTGTTACTGAACAGTGCTTCACTGTCCAAAACTGACTTGAAACTTAATGTTAACATTTTGCAGCACATTTTGCACGACTGTTTCACGGGTACATGCTTTTGGTGATTTGTAATTCTATTATTGCTCAATACCATTTCATTTCATTTTGTTAATCGTGTGTAAATATGTTTCACCTTTCTATTGCATCATTCAATGATTTGCAATTTCAATAAATGAAAATGTGATGAGACTTTTTGTGAGTAGTATACCAACCACTGGTTTCCTTTTGTCGTGCATGGAAGATCTTCTCCATTCTAATTCTTGGTAATCCATCAGATGCGTGACTGATCTCCTTTTCATGTAGACTATCATTGTCGATGACGTAGGCTTCGTTATTTAATGCACCGCTGTCGTTGCTGCCATCGACTTTGTCGTTATATTTCTGTCTGTGGCGCTCAGCCTCGGCAGTAATGATGTCATAGAGTGTCCCAACAAGAGATACAGCGATCACAAGACAGATGACGAATCTGATGACAGATGACGAATCTAATAGAAGATGACAAATCTAATGAGAGTGAGTGAGTGATTTGGGGTTTACGCTGCTTTTGCAATATTCCAGCAATGTCACGGCGGGGGACACCGGGAATGGGCTTCACACATTATGCCCCTGTGGAGAATCGAACCCGGGTCTTCGACGTGACGAGCGAACGCCTGAACCAATAAGCTACCCCAGCACCCCGAATCTAATGAGAGATGACGAATCTAATGTCAGATGACCAATCAAATGTCAGATGTCAAATCTAATGACAAATGACGTATCTGAAGAAAATTGACGAATCAAATCACAAATGATGAATCTAATGACAAATGACAAAACTAATGAGAGATGACGAATCTAACGACATTTGACGAATCTAATGACAACTGACGAATCTAATGACATATCATACAGACAGGAACGCTTGAACGTGTTTACGAGAATGGATGAGAAAACGATGTGAGTGGAGTACATTTAGTCAGCACAGGATGGGCCGTCAAAGAGCCAGTGTGGTAACCCAAATAATCCTGCCCAAAGCTCGGTTTTGATTTACCGCATGAGTTAAAAGTGTAAAGCCGAAGTGTCCACTGTCTTGATATTAGGGATTTATTGCTAAAAGATGTGTGAATCCATATATATACTTCGACGATCACCAGAAACAGTCAACAACCAAGCTCTATATTTATGTGCCACCATATCGAGAGAGTAAGATTCACAGCTTGGTTTCCTGTGTATGCTGCGATGGCGCTACGAGGACCTAGGCTATGACTCCATAATGGCTGTTTCCACTAGAAAAGCAAACATGGCGGACATGCCATGTATTTACTTCAGAAAATAACCAAAACTGGTGATTCTGATGTTTATTCCTTAGCATTTGAATCGGTATTGCAACAATGTGACTTTTTATAGGGCTATATATAAACAATGACACCCGAGACAGCATTAAGATTGAGAACACCGATATGTGTGTTACTATTTCGTGCCAGCCTGCTATTGTCACGATATTGTATACCTAATACATGGAAGCGAACGACCACATGAATAAATTACCGTTCGCTTTAATGATTTCACTGACAATTTTCACCCATTGTTATCTACTGGAAATACATTGAAGGCCCACTGAACTACAACACCACTTTTGGCCTGTATGATGATGTAAGATCGTTGGGTCATTTACTGGTTCTGATATTCGGCCACTGCAATATCTTCATCTGAAATCCGTTTATTCTTCACTTGTCTTCTCACTACATTATGAAACTAATAATTATTTTAAGCATGATAATATGGGTACATAGATTTGACCAACTCATTGATTGTATAATCTGATATCAGCAATTATTTAGCCATTCAACACATAGGTTATATTCTGCAGTGAACATCTAGGTCTACATCTATACTTTACCAGCACTGCATGTATCTATAGTTAAACATACAATCAGTGATCTGGCTTTGAATTTAGGAGAATACGGCCTGAAACTGTTAACCAATTTTGCATTGTAATTTCAGATCAGGTTCAAAACTCTATTCAATTTCATTGGTACAAAATGAAAATTTCTTAGATGTCTGATTAAAATGGAGATATTGAACATAATGACAAAATTATATGTATTAGTTGTTTTTCTTCAATTTGTTTGGTGGTTATTGTTACTTGTTATTTGCATGTTTATTCCTCAATAATACATTATTGAATATTGATAACAAATTATAGATATTTTTTACTTTGGGGGTTAAAAAAAGATATAACTAGATGTAACATATGGGCACAGCTACAGAAGAATGGGAACGTTATCAATTTTATTTCCTGTTTTGTGATTTTCCTGTTTCGTGATGTATTCAGTAAGTAATATACCAATGGTGTGATTTGTATTAAAATGTCTCTATAACCTCAGACTGAAGTTGCGAGACAATGCCCTTTGTTATATTTTGCATGAAATCATCCTTCAGAAAAAAATTAAATGTTATGTTCGAATGATAAACAACATTGAAGCAAATTAATTAAAAATAGCGAATATTGCCTCTTTATCGTTATTTCATTAGTCCTAAAACAAGCACCGTTTTCAAAATAAATCAATTGTTTTTCTAACGTAATCTATTTTATGATGAATTTCGTAATTGAGTGAGTAAACAACGCCTTTTCATATTAATAAAATACAGAGGCCAAATATTAGAACTAATGACTACTCCTACCATCGAACAACATTATAACGGATCAAAAGAAGTATTTACTAGTTATTAATTTTCGCGTTCGATATATTTCTGATATATATCAATAGGGAAAATGAGCCATAATCGTTGGAATGAAAAACTAATGATGCGAACAATATTTCACAAGTGTGATCGTTCAATGTAGAAAGTATATAATATCGTGATATTAACGCACATATCGTTCTTGTAAATGGATCTTGTGTCATTGTTACATTTCGCCTTTGTTTCGACAGATTAGATATATTTCTTTTCGCTAAAAGTAACAATTGACATATACACCACATTCTCATGACATATACCCTGCTGCAATACTGATGAGGATGCTGAGAAAAATACACACACATTCTTGGGTTTTATATAGTAAATGCATCTTGTGTCAGCCAGGTATGTTTGGCTAGCGGAGGCCGCCATAGAGCAGTCATTCATCGATTGCCTGGTTCAGTGTCGCTCTCGCGCTGCATACCCTGTAAACCAGATTTGTGAGGTTCCTTGTTCACTCATGGTATGCACAGGTTGGTTTGGAATGATCTAATATTGATCAATACTGTCAGACAAATCATATTTCATGTTTTAGTTTTACGTACACTGCAGCCACAGCCGTGCCGTCTTCCTTCCAGTCAGAGAGCCTTGTGAAGTACGCAGTGATAAGAGAAACACCAGTGATATTCTTTACCACTGAAAAAATGCAATCCATGATATGCAAACAAATGCGTGTTTGGTGTTTTTCTTTGACTTGTCCTAAGTAACATTAAAGTACATTTTCTTAGGACGCTTTGGACTGAGGCACGAGTGCGGTTTCTTCTCACATAGGTCCGACTCACCGTGCCAAACTAAAATACTGCCCAAAGAGACTTACTTCTCGCCTAAAACTCACACGCCGCAATATTAAAAAATACTGACCCAAAGGCTTTCTTTTAATATAAACTCATACGCCGTGGTATACTTAAATACTGCCCAAAGAGGGTTTCTTCTCATTAAAACTGCCTAAAGGCTCTCTTCTTCAAGATACATTACTCCGACACGTCGTGATGTACTAAAATACTGCCTAAAGAGGCTCTCTTCTCATCTATAACTGACTCCTTGTGATATACTAAAATGCAGTCCAAAGAGGCTCTCTTCGATCTCACATAAATCCGACCCGTCGTGTTATTTTAAAATACTGCCGAAGGAGGCTCCCTTCTCACCTACAACTGAGACGTAGTGATACACTAGAATACTATCTAAAGAGGCTCTTTCCTCACCTATAACTGACTCCTCGTGAAATACTAAAATACAGCCCAAAGAGGCTCTCTTCTCACCTGAAACTGACACGTCAGGATACACTTAAATACAGCCAAAGGAGGCTCTCTTCTCACCTAAAACTGATTCCTCGTGATACACTTAAATACAGCCCAAAGAGACTCTCTTCTCGCCTAAAACTGACTCGCCGGGATACACTTAAATACTGCCGGAGGAGGCTCTCTTCTCACCTAAAACTGATTCCTCGTGATACACATAAATCCTGTCCCAAGATTCTTTTTTTCACATAAAACTGACTCATCGTGATATAATAAAATACTGAGACTTTAAGTGGCCAGGTTGATTCCGTTGTGGTTTGTGTGTCAAGCTTTTGGATATTTCAGAGTATCACAGGCACAAAATATATGAGTCTAATAACTGACTTTCTTATCTCTTTGTAAATAGCGGCTTTCAGCGTTCGCTTACACATTTATGTATATCATACGGGGAGAGGTAAAAGTCCATTTAGCGTGACATAAATATGTCGTATGATATTTAATCATGCAATATATTTAAACAACTGGGTAAAGGTTACGTACAGTTTGTGGCGGCGTCAGTCACTGCGCTGTTATTACAGGACGCAGGAAGACAAAGGTCCCACTGAATTATCGGCTGACCAGCCTGACGAAAACGAAGCACATCCATCCATCATGGCTTACAAATATCACAAGGTTAATGAACAGAACCTTGATGTAATGATAGTTAATAAAAGAGGCATTAACATTTATGAATGTATCCACTGTGGTTAGACAGCGTACATAATAAAGTCTTGTGTGAATTCATGTTTCTGACGTCTTTGTAAAAATTACCTTCTTTGTGGAGAATGAAATTTGGATCGTCTAATTTTGGATCAGTGATGTCACTAAATCACATTTCGAAGGAATACTTACTGAGAAGGGCATCTTTCCATTTGTTAGGTTGCTGATTGATGACGGCATGGTGAAGACGAAGTGGCAGTAGTTGCCCTTGATTACCCGATCAGAACCAGCGCTCCGGTTAGCTACGGGGTGGGACACACGTAGACATTCGTCGTAGTTACCCAAAAACGTCGACGCCCCTTGGAGAATGCTTCTGCCAGGCTTGCCTGAGGCATCCAACACTACAAGAAATCATTTGCTTTCATACGCACATGGGAAGCGTTACGCGTCACGATCGTTTACTCTATATTTCCGGTTAAAATATATTTTTTAAATAAAAGCATATTCTGTGTTAGGTTTGTGCGTTGTGCGTTGATAAATATGTGTGGTATACCTCAGTCCAAAGAAATCTACAGTGGTTTTGTTTCAGTGTTTCTGGATGGTTTATCTTATTTATGTATCCACATTTGATCAATGTCATTGAAATGCGTGTGAAATGCGACACTTTTATTTGATGCATTTCTTATCTTTACAGACAAAGAAACCCCACTAACTTTCAAGTTACAGAAAAGTGAATGACATGACAACCAAATTAGCAGAATCTGTCCACTCATAAGAGCTATCCTTTTGGTCATATTGATTTTTTAACCAAAGTTCCTGTGAAATCCAGATCGTGTTTACTTTTTTGCAGTCGCAAAACAAGTGATCAGTCGTTCCTAGTTTTGAAAAGGAAAAGCTGACCATGGTAAAGTTAGATTCCTCCCACTTTGTCGTTCAGATACAGGCATACCTACGATCTGATCTCGTTCAATAATTGTCCAATAAAGTTGACTTGAGTTTGCATGTGTTTGCGTCACCAGTGGGGCAGGATAGGCTCAATGTTTCGTGAAAACGAATATCTGGATGACTGATGATGATTCATAGACACATGACTCAAAAATAGATACATGGACGGAATTTGGTTTTATTTTGTTACTCTGGATCGTTATGTTTCTACTCCGGGAATATCATTTGAAAGAAATTGGTTACTGGAGCCGTTATTGAACAAATATTTATAAAACACATGTGAACATTCTGATGCAAATATCTGATTTGAATGCAAAACATTTTTGTTTAAGATTGAAAACAGGTAGAAGATGAACTCATATATTGTGCTTAGGGTGTTTGTCAGACTCACTTTGCAAGGCCCACACCTGACCCTGTCCCACGCCCTTGAGATAGGCGCTGACGTCAGCTGTACATCGGTCCTCGCTCTCAAGACCCTCTGGACTCAGGAAATACTGTACCTCTGAGAACACCTCCTCCAGTGTCGACAGCAACGTTTGAAACTGTGTCTCTCCGCCGTTATCTAATAAACTTGACACATCACTGACTCCCACTGCGGCCATCAACAGAGAAGCAGTCTGAGGGTTGCGAAAGAGTGTTTGGATTATAGTACCTGGACGATCTGAAGTGGAAGAATCAACTCTTCTCCTCACCCGCTTCTGGCTTTGCTTTGGGACCACCAAATTATCTGTAGATCCTGAGGTTGCAGATCCTTGGTGCTCAGGTACATTCTGCGCTGCAACTTGATCTACTGGAAGGATGGCTGGCATCTGTTCATATTTGTAATTCGGATTGTGGTCCCATGAACACGTTGCAGGAAGAAGAAACACGATTGATATTGATACCAAGTACATAGAACAACCCATCTTCAGCCTGACTCGTACCACGTTGGTGAAGGTACGTAGGTGTGAATGTAGTCTCTCATTGAGCGGGTAACGTTCAGGTGTATATAGGCTCAAGATAACGAACGTAAACACCCAGCTGATAACTGGGTCGCTTCACGACGTTACCGTAAAACAGCCAAAACGATGTTGATGAGAAGATGAAACATTATCTTGCGATATTATATAATAATTGACAGAATAATGTAAAACACACAAAGATGATACTTCATAAATATTACGATAGTGACATAATATAGATACAATTCGAGTACTAATAGCTGCTTTTCAGGGATGACCGATATCTCGGGCATATGTCTTGTACAATGTGGTGCAATAGTTAATGACAAGCATATTGCCTTTTATGGTGAAATAACCGCATATGTTTTTTCCTTGTGTGTTAAAGTGCCAGGTAATCTGAGGGTAGGCAAGACATTGTAATACATTGTATTGTACCACATGTGTGTCAGCTCATGTATTACAACACCCGAACAATCCCCAGCTGTCCAAATTTCAGAGTGAATTCTCTTACCCCATGTATAGTAATACGCGATCACCCGCAATACCCAATATGTTACAATACCCGATCATTCGCAATACCCAATATGTGAGAATACCTGTACCCAATATGTTACAAAATTGAACACCGGCGTCTTTCCAAAAATGTTACATTCCACACTATCTGTTACTCGTGACCAATGTACATTAATTTTTACTAGGGATCACTCTAAACTAAATGTTACTGGGGACCTCTGTCTACTGCATTCTCTTCCCACAGAGGTTACTTGTCATATCTTCCTACGAACCTCTGTTCTAATACGGCCATATTTCCCGGTTCTCGTAAAATCCCTAGCGGCAAAAGATCGCAACACGAATTATCTCCCTTCTTTCTATCCAATCAGAACACCTGTTACATCGACTTAGATTCAACTTGACTAACACAAGCAAATGTGAGGTCACAAATATCGCCCATCTGCCGGGGACTTGTGTTGATGTTACACACAAGACGTTTAATGGCTAGCTTGTCCGTTGTCAACGAGGGCGATGGAGACGTTACTGATACGCCATAACACGACTGTGTTCTGTCTAGAAGAAACGTTTGCGCATCGCGCAGGGATTTTCGAAGTATACGGAAATTACCGAGGCTTTGCGAATGATCACTTTTGAAGCAACGTCGCTGATTGCACAACTAAATCTGATTGCCTCCAATCACGAGTCTTGAACTCTCACACCATGAAAGGGCCGTATTAGAACAGAGGTTACGTAGGAAGATATGACAGGAGTAATCTCTGTGGGAAGAGAATGCTGTCCACTGTTGCTAGGGACAAATGTACACTATCTGTTACTATGGACCACTCTACACTATCTGTTACTAGGGTCCACTTTACACTATCTGTCACTAGGGTCCACTCTACACTATCTGTCACTAGGGTCCACTCTACACTATCTGTTACTACGGACCACTGCACTCTATCTGTTACTAGGGACCACTCTGCACTATCTGTTAAAAGGGACGACTCTACATTATCTGTTACTACGGACCACTCTACACTATCTGTTACTAGGGACCACTCTGCACTATCTGTTAAAAGGGACCAATCTACATTATCTGTTACTACGGACAACTCTACACTATCTGTTACTAGGGACCACTCTGCACTATCTGTTAAAAGGGACCACTCTACATTATCTATTACTACGGACCACTCTACACTCTCTGTTACTAGGGACTACTCTGCACTATCTGTCACTAGGGTCCACTCTACATTATCTGTTACTACGGACCACTTTACTCTATCTGTTAAAAGGGACCACTCCACATTATCTGTTACTACGGACCACGCTACACTATATGTTACAAGTGACCACTGTACACTATCTGTTACTAGGGTCCACTCTGCACTATCTCTTAAAAGGGACCACTTTCCATTATCTGTTACTACGGACCACTCTACACTATCTGTTACTAGGGTCCACTCTACATTATCTGTTACTACGGACCACTGTACTCTATCTGTTACTAGGGACCACTCTGCACTATCTTTTAAAAGGGACCACTCTACATTATATGTTACTAGGGTCCACTCTACACTATATGTTACAAGTGACCACTGTACACTATCTGTTAAAAGGGACCACTCGTCATTATTTGTTACTAGGGTCCACAGTACACAATCTGTTAAAATGACCACTCTTCACTATCTGTTACTTGGGACCACTCTACACCATCTGTTGCTAGGAATCACTGTAAACAATGTGTTACAAGGGACCACTATACAGTATCTGTTACAAGGGACCACTGGACAGTATCTGTTACAAGGGACCACTGTACAGTACCTGTTACAAGGGACCACTATACAGTATCTGTTACAAGGGACCACTGGACAGTATCTGTTACAAGGGACGACTGGACAGTATCTGTTACAAGGGATCACTATACAGTATATCTGTTACAAGAGACCACTATACAGTATTTGTTACAAGGGACCACTGGACGGTATCTGTTACTTGGACAGTATCTGTTACAAGGGACCACTATACATTATCTGTTACAAGGGACCACTGGACAGGATACGTTACAAGGGACCACTGTACAGTATCTGTTACAAGGGACCACTATACAGTATCTGTTACAAGAAACCAGTATACAGTATCTGTTACAAGGGACCACTAGACAGTATCTGTTACTTGGGACCACTATACAGTATCTGTTACAGGGGACCACTGGACAGTATCTGTTACAAGGGACCACTGGACAGTATCTGTTAAAAGGTACCACTGGACAGTATCTGTTACAAGGGACCACTATACAGTATCTGTTTCTAGGGACGACTGGACAGTTTCTGTTACAAGGGACCACTGGACAGTATCTGTTAAAAGGTACCACTGGACAGTATCTGTTACAAGGGACCACTATACACTATCTGTTACTAGGGACCACTATACAGTATCTGTTGCAAGGGACCACTGGACAGTATCTGTTAGAAGGGACCACTATACAGTATCTGTTACAAGTGACCACTATACAGTATATCTGTTAGAAGGGACCACTCTACAGTATCTGTTACAAGGGAACACTGGACAGTATGTCTTTTACAAGGGACTACTATACAGTTTCTGTTACAAGGGACCACTGTACGGTATCTGTTACAAGGGACCACTATACAGTATATCTGTTACAAGGGACCACTATACAGTATATGTTACAAGGGACCACTGAACAATATATCTGTTACAAGGGACCACTATACAGTATCTGTTAGAAGGGACCCCTGGACAATATCTGTTACAAGGGACCACTATACAGTATCTGTTACAACGGACCACTGGACTGTATCTGTTACAAGGGACCACTGTACAGTATCTGTTATAAGGGACCACTATACAGTATCTCTTACTAGGGACCCCTATACAGTATCTATTACTAGTGACCACTGTACAGTATGTGTTACTAGGGACCACTGGACAGTATCTGTAACAAGGGACCACTATACAGTATCTGTTACTAGGGACCACTATACAGTATCTGTTACAAGGGACCACTGGACAGTATCTGTTACAAGGGACGACTGGACACTACCTGTTAAAAGGGACCACTATACAGTATCTGTTACTAGGGACCACTGGACAGTATCTGTTACAAGGGATCACTATACAGTATATCTGTTACAAGAGACCACTATACAGTATATGTTACAAGGGAACACTGGACAGTACCTGTTACAAGGGACGACTATACAGTATATGTTACAAGTGACCACTCGACAGTATCTGTGATAACCACCACTATACAGTATCTGTTACAAGGGACCACTGGATAGTATCTGTTACAAGGGACCACTATACAGTATCTGTTACTAGGGACCACTCTACACTACCTGTTACTAAGGACCACTGGACAGTATCTGTTATAAGGGACCACTGGACAGTATCTGCTACAAGGGACCACTAGACAGTATCTGTTACTAGGGACCACTGGATAGTATCTGTTACAAGGGACCACTATACAGTATCTGTTGCAAGGGACCACTATACAGTATCTGTTACAAGGGACCACTGGACAGTATCTCTTACAAGGGACCACTATACAGTATCTGTTACAAGGGACCGCTCTACGGTATCTGTTACTAGGGACGACTCTATACTATCTGTTACTTGGGACCACTGGACTGTATCTATTACAAGGGACCACTGGACAGTATCTGCTACTAGGGACCCATATACAGTATCTGTTACTAGGTACCACTCTACACTATCTGTTACAAGGGACCACTATACAGTATCTGTTAGAAGGGACCACTATACAGTATCTGTTACTTTGGACCACTGGACACTCCCTGTTACAAGGGACCATTATACAGTATCTGTTACTAGGGACGACTATACAGTATCTGTTACTAGGGACGACTGGACAGTATCCGTTACTAGGGACCGCTATAAAGTACCTTTTACTAGTGACCAATGGACAGTATATGTTACAAGGTACCATTATACATTATCTGTTACTAGGGACGACTCTACACTATTTGTTACTAGGGACCACTGGACAATATCTGTTACAAGGGACCACTGGAGAGTATCTGTTACTAGGGACCACTATACAGTATCTGTTACTAGGGACCACTATAAGCTATACAGTATCTGTTACAAGGGACCACTATATAGTATCTGTTACAATGGACCACTATATAGTATCTGTTACTACGGACCACTATACAGTATCTGTTACAAGGGACGAGTGGACACTAACTGTTACAAGGGACCACTATATAGTATGTGTTACAAGGGACCACTATACAGTATCTGTTAGAAGGGACGACTGGACAGTATCTGTTACAAGGGACCACTATACAGTATATGTTACTAGGGACCACTATACAGTATCTGTTACAAGGGACGACTGGACAGTATCTGTTACTAGGGACCACTATACAGTATCTGTCACAAGGTACCACTATACAGTAGCTGTTAGAAGGGACCACTGGACGCTATCTGTTACTAGGGACCACTATACAGTATCTGTTACTAGGGACCACTGGACAGTATCTGTTACAAGG